GGATATGTTTGAGTTAGCCGGTTGGCCTAATCCAAAACATACGCGCTCTCGCTAAACGGTACTACGACGCGGGTTATCAAATGGCCCTGAGGGCCGGCCCGTAGCACTGACGTTGATGGTCGCCTTGGGCGCCAGATCTGGGGGACGCTGCGCTGGTAGTTCTGGGAGGGAAAAAAAAATGTTTGACCGTTGGTGCTCATCCTAATTTTCGGCCTTGATGTAACAACATTCATAATTAAGTCAATGTAACACCCTTTTCACCCCGGTTACACGTTTCATTTGCCCTGTACGATGGGCGCTGTAAGTGATGAAAATGGGGGATGTTGGCTTATCTGGCACCCGCAGCTCACAGCCAAAGTGCGAGTGAGCGAGGGAGAGAGAGGGAGGGTGCACCGGTACTGGCGCTGTTGTTATTAGCATCTGGTGCTAGCTGCTTTAACGGATATAAGAAGAAGATGTTTCTACAATAATGTGGAGGGAGAGTCCTCTCCAGTCAGACTGAGAGGCTGATAACTACAGCTCAGTGAGGTAAAGGACTCTGAGTGTTTAGATAGTTCACTTTAGTCTAAGTTATCTCAGTGGGTCTCAAATGTTTTGATCCCAATTTATGTAAACAAATATTTCCAAGGCACTCCTTTATAATTATTTGGATAAAAAGGTTTGAAATCATTTCAATGTGTACTAGGACAGTAAACCAAAAATATCGTTTAAAACTGGAGGGGTAAAAAGATATGCATCAATAAATAAATAAATGTTATGTCACGATCTGTCTGTGTTTTGTTTTGTCTTGTCTTTTTCTGTCTTTGGTTTCCTGTTTTATTTTGAAAAGTGTTCACCCCCTGTCTTGCCTGTTGCTTTCTGTCTGTGTTCCCTCCTTTCTGATTAGCCGATTGTGTTCACCTGGTGCCCCTGTGTTTTTTCCTCCCTCCTCACCTGCCTCTTGTTTCCTTGATTAGTCTTGTGTGTATTTAAGTTCTGTTTTTTCTGTCTGTCATTGTTAGTTCCTTGTTGTTGTTTGACTGTGTTCACGGTGTTCAAAGTTAACCTTTAAATAAAGGTATTATCAGTGAAATCTGCATTTGGGTCCTGCCTGCTTCACTCACCCTGACATGTTAATAGGTCAAATAAGATATGAATGAACGGCAAAAATCTCGCCTAGGGCAGCAAATTGTTTAGAGCCGGCCCTGACTACAGTATTGTGTTTTTTTTCTGTTCCCATAGGATGCTATTGGCAGAGCAGCAGTGAAGAAACTCACTTCCCTCCATGGCACCAGATACAAGGTTGGAAGCATCTGCAACATCATCTGTGAGTATTCTATCAGAGCATAATTTCTCACAAATACATCCCACTTTTCAGCTTTGTGACAAGCTGTTTTCCTGCTGATCCAAGAGGGGTTTGAAAAGTTTATCAAGCTTAAACAGAAGGAGAATCTTCTCAACATAAAGGAAAATCAGCAACCTCAGAATCAGGATTTGGTTTATTGCCAAGTAGGTTTAGTCATAATGAAATGTGCTTTGGTTTATAATGGGGCAACATTTTTTGTTGTTTTAAAGAATGGTGCACAAAACAACATACATATACAAAACAAACACTATTAAAAATATGTCAAATGACTGTAAAAAAAATGATGTTCAGTATTTATCATGGCCCTTGTTGATGAGGCCAGTAGGTGTTCAAGGTTCAAGGCTTTTATTGGTCATGTGTACATACCTACAGTGTTATGTCACAGGCTCCTCCAACAGTGCATCACAATAACAGAGAACAAAACAGAAAAGTGCAAGTAAATACAAAAAGTAAAATAGTGCAATAAGAGTCTATATGCAAGTGATTGAATATGATATATTAGATAAATAATTTCTAAATTGCATCCAGATTTAATGTGTGAGGAAGAAGCACATGTGGAGATACACAGTTTTCAATGTGGGAAGGGGATTCAAAATGGTCATCTGGATAGTAACTAGCTGTCAGACAAATGGATTAAAAACAACAATGTTTACCTATGAGATCTAGTAGAGTAGACATTTGCATAAAAAGGAAATATTCAGCTATAGTAGAAGTACCTTTTTTAAATTTCAGTACTTAGTTTACTTCCATTTCACTACTGGGAAGAAAATATTTCACCATCCTGTCCTCTCCTCTTACTCTCAGATCAAGCCAGCGGCGGCAGCATCGACTGGTCTTACGACGAAGGCATCAAGTACTCCTTCGCCTTTGAGCTGAGGGACACCGGTAACTCTGGTTTCCTCCTGCCGCCCACTCAGATCATCCCCACCGCCTCCGAGACCTGGCTGGCTCTCAAACACATCATGGAGTACGTCCGTGATCATCCTTATTGATCTCAGTAACATGAGAAAGGAGGATGTACATTAAAATGATTTGACAAAGAATAAATGTCTCATCTTTCTTTGCTGGTGTATGAACTTCTGTCTTCAATATTGAACAATAAAGTCATGAATATATAGTTTGTCTGTGTTTATGGCAGACCTTTTTTTTAATCTTTTCCATGTTATATAAACTGTGTTATGTGCTTGACTTGGTATAATTACTTTAGTTTGTAATTACTTGACAAGATTAAAGGTTTCACTTATAACTCCATTAAAATACAGTATTATCAGCGGTGGAAGAAGTATTTTGATACTTTACTTATTAATATTAACAATTAATTATCTGTGTTAAAATGCCTACTTTGTAAGTTAAAGTCCTGCAATTAAAGTATTATGTTAAAGCATCAAATACACTTTAAAAAATATATACTGCATGTTGTATTACAATAGCCTATATATTCTATCTAATGATGCATAATGTGTAAGTATTTTTAGATATAGCTGTTAACTGTGGAGCAAATTATAATTGTGTTATTCATTTATTACTGCCTGGTTGCTTTATACTCGAGTGAAATTATTAAAATATCTGCATTTTATTCCCATTCCCATTAGTGTTACTATTAAAATCAGAACAGAATAAGAAAAAGATATGTAACTATTTCAGTGATTAGATGTTGTATCATTAGCCGATGTTTGAATATGGTTTATTCACATTATATGCAATGGGCAAAAAAAAGAAGTTCTTCCCGCCTCTCATTTTTAGAGGCAGGAAGAGCTCAATATCGGAATCCTTCAGTTTAATGACTTGATCTTTACACTATTAGGCTTCTTGATTCACCACGAAAAGAAGAATAAAATGGGCTATCTCAAACAAATTGAAATTGAAAACTTCAAGTCATGGCGAGGGAAGAATGTAATCGGTCCTTTTATGAGATTTAATTGTATAATCGGGCCTAACGGCTCTGGTAAGTTAACTTTGTACCATCAATGGTTGCTAGCTAACGTTAGCTGTCGATCCTACTAGCATTTTAGCACTTTGCACTCTTTTATACAGTATGATCAATATTAAGAAATAATTAATATAATGCATATGTTAAATAAAACCATCATTTATGTTAGACCATAATGAGTCTCTAAAATATACTCTTTTACCCCTAAGTTTAAACTAAGTTAACTTTTGTACCATCAATGCTAATGTTAGCTGTCGGTGCTACTAGCATGTTAGTTTAGCTTAATTATTATTAAGCTAGTATTATGCTAATATTACGTTTTCCTAGGTCCAAAATATGCTCTTATACAGTATGAACATTATTAAGACATACTAAATATAATTCTTATGTAAATAATAAATCATGATTTATGTCAGAGCATCAATAATCTGTGTAAAACACACTGTTAAAGGGTATTTAATAGTAATGTATCATGATTTTAACTTCACATGGCCACTCCTTATATGGAGGTTAGTTTAGTTAACTTATCTCTAATGTTAAGCCGGCTATGAAACCAATTCTAGGCAAATCCAACGTGATGGACGCCATAGGTTTCGCCCTGGGGGAGCGGGCTACCTTTCTGCGGGTGAAGCAACTCCGGGACCTGATCCACGGAGCCCACATCGGGAGGCCTGTGCCCGACACCACCAGGGTCGCCTTGCGGTACTGCGATCAGGAGGACCAGGAGACCGTGTTCTGTAGGAGTATTTTTGGTCAGTTTATAAGTTTATCTTATTATCTGAGCATTCATATGGTTAACTGTTCAGAAAGCAGCAGGTGGTTCAATGGAGTGCAGGACAAGGTCTGCAAATAACTGTTATTTTCAATACAAATAAATATGTTGAATATATTCTAGAATATTCGATCTAGTTTTACAGTCTTAGAAGATATTGACAAATATCCATTAAAATGTTATCCTAAAACCCACATTTATTCAGTTTAATATGATGGAAAGCAGGAAATCATCATTTTGGAGAGGCAGAAAACGAATATTTTTGCTTAAAAAGTTACTTTGATTGTAAAAAATAGTCGATTAGGTGGATAGTTATTCATTGCACCTCTAGTTGCCTAGAAACATATTCTATACATAGATTAGTCATAATGATGAAACTACACAGTTGCTTGTTTCTGTTTGTTTTTAAGGATTCTGTATATTTTTTCAAGTCTAGGGGTAAAAAAGCAAAAAATATGTTTTACCTGACATGTTTTAATAAATCATCTGATGCCAAATATTTTATTATTCAAGGGAACTCTTCTGAGTATCGCATCAATGGTGTACATGTCTCTCTGGCCAAATACTTGGAGGAGCTGCAGAAAATCGGCATTGTGACCAAAGCTCGAAACTGTCTGGTGTTCCAGGTAAACACTACTGTTAACATTTGGGTGGTACTCTTGAATATATGCTGTATGTTGTATAGAATATGAAGTGGGAGGTATCAAGATTGTAGGTATATAAAAACCAAGGACAGATTGTCATGCTGTGAGAACTCTGTTGCTAAATTAATGTCAAGTACTCTGTCTGAATAAATACTATAAATTACAATGGTATATATTTGCACTCAAACGTACAGCAGCACAACACATATAAGAATATACACCTTTGATAATAGTATAATATACACCTTACTAGTTGTGTAGTAATAATACCTTACAAACAAGTCTGTACATCATTGTTCTCATCACAAGGGGGCAGTGGAGTCCATCGCTCTGAAGGACCCAAAGGAGAGGACCAAGATGTTCGAGGTCATCAGTCAGTCTAAAGAGTATGCTGCAGAGTATGATCAGAAGAAAGAGGCGATGATGAAGGCCAAAGAGGACACTCAGTTTCAATTCAACAGGAAGAAATCTGCTACTATGGAGAGGAAACATGTGTCGCAGGAAAAAGTAGAGGTAAAGTCATCACACAAAAAGAGCAGAATAATCTTTCTGCACTCTCAGCTACAGGGGCTTGTTCACAGTGGTGTAGTGGGGATTTTTTTACTGGGTGGACGCTATTTTAGTTAGGTCATCCCAAACAATGCCACAAGTGTGCACACTCGCAGTGCACTCACAACACGGGCAGACAGGTCTACAGAAACTATGCTTAGTCCTACTTTAGTTACTGTATTGCAAAAAGCAGACGCCGCTGCGCTCAACCCACACAGACTCAAAACCATGGACACACCGGCACGTAAGTTACATAAACAATCTATAGGCCTAAGTTGCATAAATGCTTGAGCTACAGTATTGCAACTAAGCAGACAGCGCTGCTTCTCTCTCTCTATCTCCACTTTCAAAATCTATTTAAAACTCATAAGAAACAAACTAAATTGCGCGTGATGACGAATCATAATTTTTTAAGGAAATCGTTTTTATTTTTGTATTATAATTACTGTGAAATGTATTATGTTTTCGTCATTATTGCATCAAATACACACTTGCAACTGATAACATTGGCAATGATTTTATATTTATTAGACTATTCAAAAAAAATCCTGCTTCAAAAAACTGGGGGCTCCAAATAAGTGGCGGAACAACGACCACTACACCACTGCTTGTTCACTTCAGTTTCCAAAGTCACCACAACCTTGCAGGTATTTCCTGACAGCTTCGTTTATAACCACTCGCAGACAAATTAGGTGTCTGGCTCAGAGCAGGTGGCTTGAATAATTGGAGTGGAGGAGGCAAGGCTCCTTCAGTACTATCTAGGGATGTCCCCATCAAAGATTTTTACCCAAAGATCCCTATTCAAGTCATTTAATATAAAGTCCTAATCACATAGTATATTTTCCTAGATACTACAGCTAGACAGTGCAGAGTTTAATCATATTACAGTAATTAAAATCAATCAAATGTGTGTGCTTACTATTAAGTATTAACTTTCTTACATACTGACTACACCCTACTCTGGAAATCCACCTATCATTTTTTTCAAACTTTTTTTAATTTAAGTTTTTGGTTCATTCTGGGTTGCGACCCACGCTGTCTCTGTTAATGTAGCATCTGAAATACCTTTATTTTTACTTATATTACTGATTTATGTGTGTTCACTTTTCTCTGTGTGCGGCGAAACAAGCTCGCCAAAATGGCTTCACCGGTCTGGCAGTTTTTTAAGGTGTCCGAAAAAGACAGTAAAATAGCGGTATGCAACGCGTGTGAAGCAGAAATCCTGCAGCTCCGCCCGCTGTGACGGACCGCTGAGCAACACACACACACTGAGAGTTAGACCTAACACACTTAGCTATTTGATCTACCTCTGGAACAAGCTAAACTAGTTATAAATATATTTATTCTTCACTGTTGGGTCTCTCATTACTGGATCAGTGAGCTGCATGAGACGAAACTGACGGGCTGTTAGGAGAGAGAGAGAGGGGGGGGGAGAGAGAGAGGGGGAGAGAGCGCTTCCTCTCATTTCTCCTGTGTTATTATCCAAAGTTAATGTAAACTTGAATAATGTACTTCATTTGAATGTAATAATTATGTTGGTTGTT